TGTATATTGGTCTTGACTTCTGAGTTCTGAATACATTCTATGTCTGCCTCTATGGCATGTAATATTTTGTGCTTTTCTTGGCTTCTTGGGAGTAGTGAAAGAATCCATTTGGAGAAACAAAGGGTACTAGTAACCACCAAACCTCCATGGCCCATCTGCAGCTTAAAGGTGATGATGCACTTTGTTACTCTTTATGCTCCTGCATCTTCAGTATTACAACAAAATAGGCCCCGCCTTTGATGAACCTAGGTTCTAAATTACTAACCTAGCTTGTTTATTATGACTAAACTTCCTGAAGCTTTTGTGATGACAAACTTAGCCTTTGGTTGCAAATCTTGTGTCCTTGTTTGTTTGGTTAAAATATTATATTAGGCTCCTTTTTTTTTTGGGTTACCATATAAGGATGCTTTGATAGTCGTATAATCACTTTTCTTTTTGTTTATCTTGTTGTTATCACTGTTAAATAAATGTTAGAGAAAATAGCAAAAAAAATATTGAAAATATCAAATAGTAAAATGGGTTCCTAAATTAACATAATTGTTTGAAAATGCCCGTTCTTAAATTATAAATATGAAATGATGGTTAAAAAACCAAAGTACCCTCTTTTTGTCTCTTTCTTCTATCTTATCCTTTCATTCTCTTTCCTTCTTTTCTTCTTCCTCTCCCTCTCTTTGTCCTCTCTGTCCTCCTCCTTTTTGACAGAGATGTGATTGCAACTCTGGTGGGTGTTTTGCAAGGAATGCGCTCTCTCCATAGAAGATTTGGCCAGTCTAATAAAGTATGGGGGTGTTTGGATTAATAAAAAGTGATTTTCATAAGCATTTTTTTATAAATCAAGAGAAACTCTTTCACATATTTGCTTTGTATATTGTAAAAGTACTTTTAAAATTATAATTTTTTTTTTCACCTAAACACTTCCTATTTCTCTTTCTTCCTTTCTCTCACTATCAGGAGGGAAAAAAACTTGTTTCTCTCGACTTTTTTTTTTCCCTGAGTGAAAGGATTATTTTTCATTTGCATGTTTTTAATGTTCTAGGAGAATAACCCTGTTTGATGGAGCGTATTTCCTTATCATTTTCCTTTCTTATTTTGGCCTGAGCGTTGCATTTTCTCTGCACCATTTAGTTTTATGTTCATTTTTTTTTGTTACGTTCTGCATAGCTACATCACCATCCTAGTTTGCGTGTCTATGCATATGGGCCACTCCCATGTGCGGATTCGGTTGTGGCAAATGCGCGTTCGGAATTTGTGACAAGGTGATTGCAGTGAGAATTAATGCACTTGTTTTATTGTGTATCGTTTGTTTTATTCAAATCATTCATTCTTTATGCAGTATTATATTTGGCAATGAATTTTCAACGTGCCTTTCAATTGAGTCAGTTCTGCGGCTGAGGGCAGCTGCAATCGCATCTGTGTCAGAATATCTTATAAATTTAACAATAAATGTTGTTACTTTCAAGTAAAAATTTGTTATCCCATCTAAGGTAAAATGTTAATTAATAAGTTGATAATTGGAAATAATAAATTTTTTTAAATAACAATTTTTTATTTGAAAATAACAAGTTTAGTGTGTTGATTTAATAAATTTGTAATTAAAAATAATAAATTAACTTTGAAAAATAGTTGTTATCATAGCCATATTGCTTTTTTTTGTTGTTGTTGGTCATAAGAATCTTGTCATTTCTAACATAAGACTTCTTATTTCAAACTAAGTTAAGTTGCTGTAATTGAATTGATGAAATAAAATTATATTGAAGCAGATATACTCCTCCGGTCCTTAATATAAGACCCATTTAACTAATTTGATTATATTAAGGAAGTTAGGTAAGTTAGTTAAGTATAGGAAAAGTGACACATTTTTCCTAAAACACCATAATCATCTTTCTTAATACCTTCTCTCTCTCTTCTACTTGATTATGGTTGAGGGAGTATCCATAGGGATAATTTAGAGAAAATTGATAAATATGAGAAATGGATCTTATATTTAGGACCAAAACCAACTCAAGAATTGGGTCCTATATTAAGGATCGGAGGAGTATTATTTAAAGGTAAATTCTCTTGTTGTATGTTATTATGAAAAATGAATTGCAATAATAGGTTAAGCTCTGAAAATTCATTTAGATATGGGACAATTAATTTTAATTTAGTGTATATAGGCTTACCCTTCTAGATTTTTTTTTGAGAGAAGAGCCTTAGTAGATCTTGACATCAATTTTCATAAGTAGTATGTTTAGTGAAAAGGATATTATTAAGTAAATGTATACTTGTCACTAAATATTAGGTTGGGCTAATACGAGCTTGGTAGGGCAGGCTTTTTTTGTCCAAATTTACAACTTGAGTCATAAAATTTAAAATACTATTATATATTTTAACAAATATCTATGCTTAAAGAATTAAACAACATCTATAATTATTAAAAACAATACAATAAAAAATTGTAAGCAAAACCTTAAAGATCAAATGATTTGCATCAATCTCCACAAAATTGAGAAAATGACGAAGCATATAAAAAGAATGCAAGCTATATTAACATATTCAATTATATTATTAACTTATGGTTTAATATAATTTATAAAGATCTATATATCACATTCGAATTAGATAATTAGTATCATTTCATGACATATGAAGTAATATTAACCTGAAAAAGTTAAAAGACAATGATAATACTTAGAAAAGTTAAAATATATACTAGAATTTTAAAAATATAAAGTCTATTAATATAAGGAAGTAATGTTTGTTTTGGGTATTGGAATATAATAAAATAAAATATATTAATATTACACTATATATATATATCATAATTTTGAAAAAAAATATATATTATAATATAAATAATTATACATATATTTCAGGCAAGGATACAAGCCGGGTCGCCCTGCCTATGATTAGCCCAACCTGAAAATGTCCATTTCTTCTTTGGACTGGTTTTTTTGAACAGAACTGGATATTTTTTTGACGTGCTCAGACAGACATACTAGGCTCTTGGGCCTCATAAACACTTCTATTATCTATCGATTTGGATTTTTTGATTTACCACATGACTTACAATGCACCATTAATTCTAACTCAAACTTTTGCAACATTCTAACAAGAAGAGCTCTCCCAAAAAGGGAAACAAAAAGGAAAAACCTAACCTCAAGCCATGCTGGTCATTAGTTAACTGTTTTGTAAAAAAGTAATTTAGAGAACAAAACGAATAGAAATTTTACCAGTTAAGTTAAAAAAAAACAAAAACAAATATTGGATATCTAAGTTGTAAATTAATCTCAATTCATCAAACACTTAAAAATACAAATAAAATTTAAAATTGCAAACCCGAAAACAATGACATTTAGCTATCAAAATTTGTCCCCGTTTTTCTTGAGAAAAGGAACAATTTTTCTTCTTTTTACATGACTTCAACTTCTTCTAATCCCTTCCTGTTCGCTCCTCCTCCTCTTTGTTTCTGCAATAACAAGGAAAGAATACAGTGACTTCCTCTGGTTTGCTTCGTCTTCTTCATAGAGAACAAACCCTTTGTTTCTTCAATAACAAGGGGAGAATACATTGAGCTTCAATGTATTCATCATCATCATGTTCCTCTCAGCTCTTTCTTCCCTTCTTCTTCTTGCAGCTCTTGCTCTTCTTCCCAGTTTTCTCAGCTTTCCTTTGCTACAGGTATGTATGTGTGTTGTTAGATATTTGTTTCACTATTTCTCTTATGGCTTTTATTCATGCATGACAATATAAGTAGGACGCGGCATAAAATGTTCTGCATCACTGGAAGATTGGATTTACGATATTCCACATACGGTGACAAGTCCTTCTCCGACGGAGACTTTGCTAATTAAGGAAATACTAGTGATGAAGACAGAGATAGTATTGGTGACAGCAATGACAGAAAAATGGAGGAACCAATAAAGGAGGGAGCAGAGGAAGAGATGAAGGTGGGGAAAAAACGCCAGGGAGAGAGAGGGTGGGGGCTGTTTTGTTGCAGAAACGGGGTATTTACAATGTTCCGTAAATGTTATTATTACTTTTAAAGTAAGAATATGAATTAATTTTTTTAATCTTCAATATTCTTATTTTATTTTTCTTTACAGAAGGATATATTTTCTAGCCATGCTATAAAATTTATGTTTTATTATGCATTTCTAGTCTTTGTTCTGAAATTCATGCTTAATGCAAGTATATTTTGATTATATATCCTAGAAATGTTATAGTTAATTAGAAAATCACATTTCCATTGCTTTCCCAAATTGCAATGCCTATGGACATTTGTCCATTTGATTTAGCATCTCCCAAGGAAAAATGTTAGAAAATAATAATATGGAATGAAGATGCATTGACAACAATAATATTTATTGAATCTGCAACAGTCAAGAACACAAGATGCGAAAGAGTGAGCTTTCTCTTTTTAATTTCAGTCACTATATTTGTCCATATATTTTCCACCTCATTTAGCTTCTCTTTGAATAAAGGAAAAAAAGATGGATTGAAACTGGTCTCTTGCCATTACAAAAGTGAATACATAAAAAAAGATAGAGAAAGGTCGGTTGTTGAAGTGGAGGAAAAGGAAAGAAGCGACTCTTCTTTCAAGCTGCCACAAAATAAGCACTTTTTGGTCCTTTGAATACTTTGATTTCATTTTTCATCAACTTTTACTTTCAGCTAAAGCATGCTGTTGTTCTCTCAGTGAAACTCCAATTATTGATCCCATGCTTCTCTGCTCACTTATTGGTGGCTTCTGCTTTGAGCTCTGATGAGTTGACCCTGCTTTCATTCTTGAAGTACTGAGTTGTGTGCCTCCTTTAATCTAAACTTTCTGAGATCTGCTTCTGGTTTGCCCCTCCATCTCCTAGAAAATAACAAGTGTTGAATGATTGTTAGTAGTCTCATTATCCCGGCACTTCCTCTCCTTCACATTTAGTTAGCTTAGTGTGCTAATACCTATGCAACCCCCTTCAATTGCTTTTACTTGTTCTAAGTTGTAACAAGGTGAGCGCTTTTTGCTTCTGTTAAACCTTTCCTGCGTTTTCGTGGAAAATTCCCTTTTTTTTTTTTTAAGAGAGAGATTTCCCTCTTCATATGAAGCTCCAATTTCTACTCTTATGCTTGTTTGCCCCTTTATATGTTGCTTCTGCCTTAAGTTCAGATGGGTTGACTCTATTGTCTCTTCTCAACCACTGGACTTCTGCGCCTCCTTCCTTAAAGTCAAACTGGAAGTCCTCTGATGCCACCCCTTGCTCATGGATAGGGATACAGTGTGACCGTTACCAGAATGTGGTCTTTCTAAACCTCACTGCATCTCAGATTTTTGGTCACCTTGGGCCAGAAATTGGACAGCTGACTCACTTGCAGAAACTTTTGTTGGCCACAAATGGTTTCTCAGGTACAATACCCCCAGAGTTATGTAATTGTAGTCTGCTTGAGTATGTTGATCTTTCTGAGAATCATTTGTCAGGATATATACCTTCAGAAATTGTTAATTGCAAATCTTTGAAGTCGTTACAATTATATTCCAATCAACTAGAGGGAGCCATTCCAAACGAATTGGGAAGCCTAAGTAAATTGGAGGAGATTAAATTGTATTTCAACCACTTGACAGGTGAAATTCCACTTGCCATTTGGAAGATTCAGAGTCTTAAGCATATCCTTCTTCATAATAATAGCCTTTCAGGGAAATTACCTTCAGAGATGACAGAACTCAAGCATCTGAAAAATATCTCATTGTTTGACAACCAATTCTCTGGACCAATTCCTCAAAGCCTGGGAATCAATAGCAGTTTAGTGAAGCTGGACTTGATGAATAATAAGTTTACTGGTGGCATCCCCCCAAATCTTTGTTTTGGAAAGCAACTCCGCACACTGCTTTTAGGTTATAATCAATTTCAAGGAGGCATACCTCCAGATTTGGGAAGATGTGCAACTCTTGCAAGGTTGGATCTCAGTGACAATAATCTTTCTGGGCCTATTCCTAAATTTGAAGGTAATAATGATCTCATGTACATGGACATGAGCAAGAACAACATCAGTGGAGAAATTACATCTACTTTGGGAAGCTGCACAAATCTCATTGGTTTAATTCTGTCCACAAATAAAATCACAGGGCTTATACCCTCAGAGTTAGGAAACCTTTTGAACCTTCAGGTTCTGAATCTTGCTCACAATAATCTAGTAGGTACTTTGCCGCTGCAACTATCGTACTGTACCAAAATGTTTACATTTGACGTGGGATTCAATTTTCTTAATGGTACATTCCCATCAAGCATGAGGAGCTGGACAGTTTTGGGCAGATTAATTTTAAGAGATAATCATTTTAGTGGGTCTGTCCCATTTTTCCTCTCAGAGTATGCCCAGCTTCTCGAATTACAACTTGGTGGAAATATGTTTGAAGGACTAATTCCCGCATCAATTGGATCATTGATTCACTTATATGAGTTGAATCTGAGCTCTAATAAATTAACAGGTATGACCCCTGGTACATTCAATAGCTTGTTAATGCTCGAAAGCCTGGATTTATCCCTGAACAATTTGACAGGAAGCATAAAAGCGCTTAGCGGAGTTTCACCATTAACGAAATTCAATATATCATACAACTCATTTTTTGGTCCTTTACCAGAATGGATGAAGGGATCTCCATCATCTTTCTTGGGAAATCCTGGCCTCTATGCCAGTTGTTCAACTTCGGATGTCTCGGGTTGCAAAAACAAACCGGGTGACTCTGAATCAACTGACCACAAAGGCAGTAAAAAATCCATTTTTTTTATAGCACTTGGATTCACAGTGCTTGTCATTTGTTTGTCATTTGTAATTTGCTGGTTTATTCAAATATCTAATGTGGAGGTCAATGTTGACCATGAAGGACAAGAGGATTTGTTTTCAAACGATGAAGGATTTTCTAGAATTTGTAATCTACTAGATGCTACAGAACAGCTACATGATGAACATATAATTGGTGAAGGAGGGCAAGGAATTGTTTACAAAGCCGAACTTGGTAGTGGAGTTTTTGCTATTAAGAAGGTTAAATTTACCCAAAGCCATAAGAGGAAACCAAACATGATCAGGGAAATTGAAATGACTAGGAAGATTAGGCATCAAAATGTGGCAAGATGCCTAGGCTCCCAGATTGGTGAGGAATATGGTCTAACCATTAGCAGGTACATGGAAAATGGAAGCCTTCATGATGTTTTACATGAAAATGATCCACTACCCTACTTAGCATGGAATGTCCGCTATAAAATTGCTATTGGAATTGCAAAAGGACTAGCATACCTCCATCATGATTGTGATCCCCCCATATTGCACAGAGACATCAAACCAAAGAATATACTCCTTGATTCTGATATGCAGCCTTGTATTATTGATTTTGGTATTTCGATTGCTTTGAATCAGCCCTCTAGTGTGGTGCGGATACGGTCAACATATCATGTAGGTACTCGTGGATTTATGGCACCAGGTAGTTGCTCTTGTTCTGCACTCAGTGGATTAATTTTCTATTTCTAACATGTTTAATAAAACTGAGATAGTTTTCATCCTATAAGGAGAACATATATATCCAAATGATGAAGCAACAAGATAGGAAGCAAATGAAAATAGATCAGAAGTATAATTTCTTTATAATTTAACATGCTTCCATTGTCTTATGACAGAGATTGCATGTGTGGTAGTGCCCAGTTGTGAGCTCGATGTATATAGTTATGGGGTAGTTTTGCTTGAGCTGATAACCAGAAAGAAAGTATTAGACTCCTCATTTTTGGAAGAGGAAACCACTTTGGTAGGGTGGTTTAAATCTGTATGGAGGAGAACCAATGAACTTGAAGAGATTGTTGATTCATCCCTTGTACGGGAGCTTTCATGTTTAGACGTAAGGGTGCAAGTCATCAAAGTGCTTTTGGTGGCTCTAATTTGTACTGAGACAGATCCAGGAAAGAGACTGAAAATGAGGGATGTCATCGAATTCTTTGAAACGCCCATTGATCCAGGTAGGAGTTGTATTCAATTGACAAGTGTGATTAACATGATATTTAAAAAAAAAAAGCATTAAATTCTAATGCATGACAGTGCGGATCCTTGTTCATGTTGTTTCAGATTCTGGTAAGTATGATACATGGTTTAATTGACATGGCATGTTATCCAAATGCTTAATTTCATTTCATCACACAAATTGGTAGTTCTGAAAGGAAATCACAGAAGTGATTGCTGCATCTGATACTACCGCTATTATCTAATTTATTATTTGACCATTATCTAGTTAGTTAATAGGATAAGATATATGTAACTTAAGTTTAAATATCTTATCTTTATCTGTTCCAAGTTATATGATTCTAGGCACAAATTTTCTTCTTCATCTATATTCTCTAGTTTTTCAGTGATCAAGCTTCGTTTCTGCTCTATTTTTGTCATTACACGTTAGCTTTCTATTCTCAACTGAACTGGTCATGAAACATGACTTCGTCTTATTTAAGGAATCTTGCCTTGAAATTCAAGCTATTGAAAGGGCTGTGGTCTTATGTTCGTCCAATTTGTACAGGAATTTTCATTCAGCATGACAGAGCATTTCATCTGGGGGGTTCTCTTGCTACTGCAGCAGCCTCTATATTTTTTCAGGTAAATTGACCAGGCAGCAACCGCTCATAAGCCCGTAATAAATTCACCTTATTTGTCTTAATGTTGTTGCTTGCAGATGAATTCAAAATGTCCAATAAATACTTCCTCTTGAAATTAGTAGGGTTTTGGTGTGGGAGGATTATGTTGAAAATAGTTTTGCAAAAGCAGCTTTACTCTTGAATAGCATTATTTTAAGACCTTACAGGGAACAAAAAGAATAGGCTGAGCATAAGAGTCTGAGGTCATTGTGAAGCTCATACTCTCCCTGCTCCTTATTATAAGAGATTGCTAACCAATTCACACATACTAATAAAACATTTAAAAGTATTAAATTTGTCATAAAATTTAAGTGATTTCCAATATTACCCTTATTAACTACACTAAATCCCAACATCATATTAATTTCTACCTTCTCACTACCCTTGTTAAATATGGGCATATATTGGGGAAAAAAAATATTTAATGCTCATTGAAACTAGCATAGGATCTTATCAAAAGGACCAAAAATTTCTTCTAGAAGGAATCTTATAATAAGGACTAGAGTGAGTAATTGTTTTGGTAATACCAGTTATGTTAGAACATCAAAAACCATGGTTGAGTGCTTTCTCTTTCTTTTACTCGTTCATCTTCTTCATTGAGCATCCTTAAATTCTGAGTTGCTACCATTCTTCTTTTTTATTCTAAACGTTTTCTATGCTCCTACTTCCAATCTCCAAGGAGGACGTCAAGATCACTGCCAATAGAGGTTCTTACCCAATTATTCACAAAGTGATGGCGGGTGATGAAAAATTGAACAATTCAAATATTATTGGCAGAGGAGCTCATGGTGTTGTCTACAAATATTCACTAGGAGCATCCCTTGTTTATGCTGTAAAGAAGGTTGCGTTTGTTGGTAACAAAAGAAGGATTGTAAAGATAGCTAGAGAAATTGAAATCATTGCAAAGATTAGGCACCGAAATCTAGTCAGATTGCTGGACTTTTTGTTTAAAAAGGAGTACTGTCTGATCTTGTACAATTACATGCCAAATGGAAACCTTCATGATGTTTTGCATGACAAGAATCCACTGCCATGCCTGGAGTGGAATGTCCGGTATAGGATTGCTGTTGGAATTGCTCATGGGTTGGCTTATCTCCATTACGATTGTCATCCTGCCATAGTGCACTGTGCCATCAAACCTAAAAATATACTTCTGGATTCTGATATGGATCCCTGTATTGCTAATTTTGGTATTGCTAAGCTTTTGGATCAGTCTTCTTCAACACCATCTTTAGCAGTTCCAGGACCACAAGGGTATATAACACCAGGTACTTATTTTACTCATGGTGAAGCTTCTCTTTCTCTTTCTTACTTCTGAACGCTTGCATAAAATAACATGTTCCCTTTAAACCGTGACAGAGAGTACATATACAACAGCAAATACCAGGGAGTTTGATGTTTACAGTTATGGGATAGTTTTGCTTCAGTTGATAACTAGAAAGAAGGCAGTAGATCCATCATTTATGAACGGAACTGAGATAGGAATGTGGGTCAGAACTCAATGGAAGGAAACAGGAGCCATTAGTACAATTGTTGATTCAAGCCTTGCAGAGGAGGTTTTGAAGTCAGATGTACTTGAACGAGTTACCATTGTGCTTTTGCTGGCTTTGAGTTGCACAGAGAAGAATCCACACATGAGACCCACAATGAGAGATGTTATCAAGCAGTTAGAAGATGCTAATCCAAGGACAAGGAGTAAAAAGCTTCCAAGTTCCAACTCCTTAAAGATCCATAGTTGATTCACACATGTGAGCATTGTGAGGTACTGAACTACATTACTTCTTCCCTGAAGCAGTGGAATAACTTGCACAGCTATCTTCCAAAAGTTTAGGTGGCTATTATGTTGCAATTAACGCTTTCGATTTTGTAAAAGAAACTGAAGTTGTCAATTCGTTGCCATGTAAGCTGATGGATAACTAATGGGCCAAGAGTAAGAACCAGTGACTATACTGAGTTTTCTGTTATTTTTCCCCTTATTTTCTTTGTAGCTTTTCTGGTTAGAGCTACACTCTGCCAGGTTCTTTCAGGTTTAGTATTCGCTTTAAGCTTGGGTTTCATCATAAGCAAATCTAGAATGCGAGTAGCTGAGGCAAACAAAGCTTTAGAAATTTTTACTGATGGGATCTAGTGACATCACTTGTATGTTAAATCTGTACATGCACGTATAGATTAGTTCTGACTTGTGACATTCTGTGTTTGCTTTTATACTAAGGAATGTTTTGTGCTTGTTTAGAAAGGGTACCAACGGCCAATCCATGAGCTGTGTAAAATAATGCCAAGTCCAAGAGAAAGAGCTTATTCCAAAATACTAGCTTATTGGAAGGGAGATAACTCTTTAAATTTATAAGCCACATTTAACTTTTGAGATTTCTCAATATGGACCCATAACAATTATTTTGTTATTCATGCCATTGCAATATTTGTGCTACATAATGGGGACCATTGTATTGAACTTGAATTGTTGATTACTGATAACTTCTAAATTTTTTTTTTTTATGAAAACTAAATGTCATTCATTTACAATCGGAGAACACAAAATATATATATATATATATATCTGCCAGGGATAAGCTTCCGTCATCATCATTTATCTCAGGAGAGAAAAGATGCGGCGTGATAAAAGAAAAAAAGCAATTATTCCCTTCTAATAGTAAAATGTGAGAATGCTTGGCAAGCTAGTCAGCCATGGGGTTATCAACTCTAAGGGTATAGTTGGTCACAACTTGCCAATATGCACAAATCAGTAATCTCGCTTTATCTAAGCAGACCCTAAAAGGGTGTGCATAATCATAGTCCATATTCAACAAATTAACATCCTCAGTGTAATCAGAAAAAATGATATGTCTGAAAGTTTTAATGATGACAACTTTAAGGTCTTATACCTTTGATTTTAACAAAAAAAATTAAAATCGTTGTTATTTTTTAGGTATACCTTTGGTTAAAATTTTAAAGCCTCTTCATGTTTAAAATGTTACATCAGGCTCCTTTGACTGAGGAGTACAAGCTTTTTTTTTTAGTTAATATGATTTTTTATCTCTTAAATTTATCCTTATTTTTTTGTCCTTCAATTTTGTAATCATAGGTTTAAGCCTCTCAAAGGGCAAAATGGTTTAAGTATTTATTGAATTATAGGGATTAATGTTTTAAATAAAAAGAAACTTGAGGAGCTAAAATCTATTGTTTGAAGCTTGAGAGACCAAAACTAAAAAGAGGACAAATTTGAGAGATTTAAAATTATATTAACCCCTTTTTTTTCATCCAAACTTTATGTTATTGTAATTATCATTTAATAAATAAATTTTACTTGCTTATCATTTTAAATTTTTTTAATTTTATTTATCATTTCAGTCTAAATATAAAATAATGTATTTTTTGCTGTATTGTAACGTTTATCTTTTCAATTTTTTTTAATAAAATATTGTACATTTCTAGCCGTTTTCTTAAAGTTTTTAAGATAGTGTTTGAAAATCATGTCAAGAATCTTGTGAATACCAACCATAATCTATATAGCCTATAAACCTTGCAGCTATTTTGTGATTGATCCACATGGTCCTCATCTATTGATGCATGTGTTTGTCTTCTGGTTCCATTATTTATTGGTTCGCCAAGCATTAGCCGTCCACATGTGCTTCGCTTTTATGTCTCATGGGATCAAGCAAGAGCATCCGAAACGTATCAAATTCCTCGTAAACCAAGAAAAAACGTATCCACACGGTTCTTCAACTTCTGCCCTTTTTTCAATGGATCGATTTATGCAATGGTTCTTCGATTTTTGCCCTTGCTTTTCATATCATCGCTTATTCTAATCTTTGGAGATTGATGGAGCAGGAATAGGTATTCTGTCCGGTCTTTCTCTGATTTCACTTTATGCTCTCTTCCCTATTGTTTCTCTTCCTCATTTGAAGGCTTCTCGCCTTTGATCTCTTTGGCTCAACCTTCAACGGTTCAAGTGCCTAACTTGGACTGATTTTTTAGGAACTCGAGATTACGCCAGTGTTGCTGATTGTGAGGCTTTGCTGCTGCTCTTGGCAGTGCACGGTTTTTTCTCCACTCTGATAACCCTTTTTATTCCATTATTTTTCTGCTTCTTTCACTTTTCTTGTCTATCCAGTACTTCGTTTTCTCTGGCCAGGTGTTAAAATGCTTCTTGGTGTTCAGTCTAGACAACACGATTGTAAACAGTGGAAGTTTGTTTAATCCTTTTTGGTAAGTTATCTAGGTACATTAAGAGATAATTTTTTAGGAAAAATTGCATTCAAGTCCCATATAGGAGAAATTATTACTCTGAGATTCCATGGAATCATCAAATAAATGTGAAGTTCCAAGGGACTTGTGGGTAATAGAATCAAATTGTGAAACTACCAAGCTGCCCTCACTGATTAATTTAGTTGTTAATACATTCCGCGATAGTTGTTAATATAATTAGTTTAGTTGTTAATGACAAGCATGTAGCACAAGCGAATATTAGTTGTTAATACATATTGCAATAGTTGTTAACATAACCGGTTTAATTGTTAATGACAAGCATATAGTATATGTGGACATTAGTTGTTAATACATACTGCGATAGTTGTTAATACAACTGATTTGGTTGTCAATGACAAGTGTGCGGTGCAGGTGGATATTAATTATTAATACATGCTGCAATAGGTGTTATCATAACTAGTTTAATTGTCAATGACAAGTACGTACTATAGGTAGACATTAATTGTTAATATATGCTGTGATAATTGTTAATATAACTAGTTTAGTTGTTAATGACAAATATGCAATGCACGTAAATATTAATTGTTAATATATGCTGCGATAATTGTTAATATAACCAATTTAGTTGTCAATGACAAGTATGCAGTGCATGTGGACATTAGTTGTTAATACATACTGCTATAGTTGTTAATATAACTAGTTTAGTTGTTAATGACAAGTGTGCGGTGTATGTAGACATTAGTAGTTATAAATGCCATGATATTTGCTAATATAGTTAATTTAGTTGTCAATGACAAGTATATGGTATATGTTAACAATAGTTAATATATACTACAATGATTGTTAATACAATTAGTTTAGTCGTTAGTAAAAAATGCGTAATATAAGTTAATATTAAAGACCAACATATTTGAAAAGTATCTATTATATTTGTTTCATATAGTAACACAACTTATAAATGGTGGATGAGCTCATTTGTAACATGCAGAGAGTTGTATGATAACAAGAACCATGAAAGAATGAATACAACATCTAATTAAGTCATATAAAAATTTGTTTGAACATTGAAAAATCAAATATAAATTTATATGTTATATCACAATATGATATACAGTTTCAATACAAGCACTCTAAATCTCATTGCAATCATACATATTCACTATAAAGATTTTATTTTATTTCATGAACAATAACGTTAAAAACAATAAATATTTATTACTCGAATAAACTCATTCATAGTTACAAAAAAAAAAAGACATTCCTTATTATAATAAAATTTATAAACAGTTGAAGCATTTTTTTTCCTTCATTTTTTTTTGGCCACAACCCAACCAATCTATCAAACCCATTTTTCTTGAACTTATTCATCACAGCCTTTATTTTCTTGTAATATTCTTCTGCAAGAAAGGGCATTACAAGACAAGTTGGAGCTACTTTGGCCAGCTTTCCTCTGTGTTCTTTTCACCATCTTTTTAACCTGTAAAAAAAATATCCAACTCCATCACATTGAAACATATCTTGATGGCTTAAGTTGATCTCTTAGCTTTAACATCAAAGAGTGATATTTTGACTTCAGGCCCTTTGTCTTCTTTCAACGTCTCCACCTCCTTTTGCCTATAGAAATACCATTTCATCATGGTAAATAATATAGAACAAAATCAGTAATGTTTCTTGAAAAAGATTAGATCAAGTAAACAAAGATGAACAACCTAGAATCGTACTTATATCTACATATCCAAATCTATTTATTTCTACACAATAATTCAATCATAAATCGAGTTCATGATACATTCGGAAAAAAAATGCTAATCTTCACTACAAATTCAATCACAAGTCCATCTTCACTAAGTCCATATTCTAACAAACAAATTATATCAAGCAAAGCATGAATTATTATGAAAACTCTTTATTATACCAAGAACTTTCTAAGATAAAAAGCGCACTTGATTTGTAATTTCTAAAGCCCTAGCAGGAGGGAGCATGTTATTGAATATTTGTTGGTCTCTTGGGTCGTGGTTAGCAACGAGTTCTCCAACCACATATTCCCAGGTTTATTGGGGGTGACCACTTTATTTGTTTCTGGCTATTCTTTTAAAGAAATAAACAGCCAATAATTAAACGGTAAGATGACAGAATAAGCTCAAAACAAACCGTCAAATAAGCATGGCTGCTGAACTTTAACCCAAAAAGACTATCTTTCCTGTAAAATGTGCTCTTCTCGCCAAGTGCAGAATTTGAAAACAAAAGTGAATGAAAATTCAAAAATATATTAGTGATTAGAAATAGAGAAGATGTGAAAGAGGGAAGAGAAAGGGAAAAGAGCAAGAGAAGCAGAGGAGAATAAGAGAAGAATAGAAGATGATGATGTTGGAAATTGTGCCCTAGGGGCCAATCATATTGCTATGAACATTGTTAATTTATGAATTTATTAATTACGTTATCATATTATTTGCATGTTTACTGTGATGACTATCCTTGGATAACTCATGGTTTATCCTAAATGTCCCTGGTTGGTCATCTATGTGGGAGCAGAGATGAAATAAGACCAGTATGACTTTAAAGATATATAGAGATATAAATTAAAGTCATAGGCACATGTAAGAGTACAAGGTGTTGGACCGACCTGCTATGAGAGAGCTGCATGGGTTAAGTCATAAGCTTCTCTCATATATAAACCATGTCACTGTGCCCTTTGACCTGAGATCATCATGGATTCCTACATGAGAAACGCTTAGCTTTGACCTAGTCAAAAGTCACTTTTGACCGAGTGATCATAAAGACTATGTTCAGGCTTAGTGGTTTTTCATGCGGAGGAATGTGAATGGTCAAGATGGAATTTGTCCCTCACATTCGTAGAGAGATATTACTAGGCCCCTCGATGAGTGAGTCTGAGAAATGTATGGCCATACTATAATGGAAAGGTAGTTCCGTTTCTATACTCAGACTACTCAGGAATCGAGAAAGTAACGGTCAT